GAAAGAGAAGTGATAGTTATAGAATACCTTCTATGAGCAAGGCTTCCTAAATGATCTCACTAAATCTTCAAAACAACACCTGGGAGGTGGGCATTCTCCACTCACCCACCCCATTTCACAGATGAGAAAAGCGAGGCATAAGAAGTTAAACTAAGTTATCCAAGGTCACATTATTTACCAATAAAAAAATAATGTCAGAGAAGGTATTCAAATTGAGTTTTGACTGCCCCTAGATCCTACATGGTATCTACTAACCCTTCTCCTTAGGGTGACATAAACAGGGTCATAGCACATTTCAGGGCACTCCTAAACTGAGATCTGTGCACCTGGGCTCTGAAAGGTCTCATTACAAGAGGCAGTTTAGTTTCAGTTTATAACATCATCCATCGCATTAAATTAATCATGTTCATTTGAATTTTGTTGGTTTTAAAGTATTGTTTATATTCAATTTGTAAATTAATTTTGGTTTTATATATTTGTTTAATAGCTAAGAGTATAAGAAGTATATAAGTAGTGTTATATTTGTACATTTCAAGTAACATTAAAATAAAAATATTTTCCAACACTCAAAAGATGTGAGATTTTTTTCACTAAAAATTCTCCATGTATTACTCAGTTGTGAGAAAATAACCATTAGCTATAACATAGACTCTTTTCAGGTCAACAAGTCTCTAGAACAACAGTATAACTGCATCGTGTAGAGCTGAAATTTTTCTACAACTTTATCTTCATTCTTTTGCACCAGGCAGAAAACACAGCCCAGGATGGTGTGTCGTGTGAAAACTCTTAAGCATTCCATTCATGTCCATTGACTGAAGTCAAAACCAATTGCGGAAGAAACTTTTTTCTACTTCAAATTTTTACGACTTTTTAATTTCAAAATTTTACAGATGTTTAAAGGCCCTGTATTTTTTTCAAGTTCTTCCTCTTGATTAAAAAAGTAGGTATATAATTCCTTTACTGTTGATCCCAGAAACACTATAAATACAAGATACTTTAATCACATCAATTAACTGAGTGATGTTCTTCCAATACATGTTTTACATTTCTATGATACATTTTATAATGCACATATTTTAAATATTTGTAATTTATAAGTTCCTTTTTCTCCTTGTTCTCTTTCTTACTTCTTATCTGTTTCTTCTATTACAATAAATGGAACTGGATATTTAAGAGAAGATTCCCTCTTTTTTAAAAAAGAAGAAATCATGTCCTTTCTGGCAAATTTTCAAAAGCAAGAAACAGAGAAGGCAATGACTTCATCTCTAGATTAGGATGAATAACTTTAATTACTCAGAGGGTATAACACTGAACACATGCTTTAAATCCATTATTCAGGCCCTTAAACCCTGTGACTTCTGACCCAAGTGACACATACATATATCATACAGTTAACACCTAATGAAAGTTCTAGGCAACTCAGCCTTATTTATGAACAATGTCTTGACCTCTCTTACCTCATTTCTGCTTTAGGCTTTTACTTCTAGCTACGAAACTCTGGAAAATTCCCCACATTTGCCCCTACTAACTTCCCGCCCCTCTCTGATGACCAATTTGACAATATCTAGTTTTGATCCTGGATGCCTTCTTCAGATCTGGTTTTGTCCTTGTCTTTTGGCTCCATCCTCTTCTGGCTACTGTGGATGACTCACGCCCAAAATGCTGCCCAAGTCTCTGACCTGTAACCTACATCCAACCATGTGACACTGAGAGGAGTAGCAGCTTGGCTTGCCTGGCGTCCCTTAATATGAGATGTAAACATTCAAACTTAAAAATTTAAAGAAAAAAATGTTTAAACATGAGCCAGCAAAAATATAACCTTACTATTTCATAGGGCAGGAATAGAAGGATGTACATAGAATGAAAACCTCCCAGGTGGTCTTTATATCAGTAAGCCTGAATATAAAAGTATGAAGGACAGTTTCTGTGGAGAGGAGATCTCTGCTTCCACTTCCATTCGCCTCACATAAAGATATTCCCGTTCAAAACAAGAACACAGAGTGACCTGTTTGTCTCATTCACCATTGTATTCCAAAGAGCCTAGAACAGGCTTCTCTAAAATGTGAGGAACTTTTCATCCATGTATCAAAACAATTATTTTTTAAGAGCTTTATAGACAGACATGCAGTTGACATACAACTGCAAATACTTAAAAGGTATGGTTTGCATACACCAGTGAAACCATCATCAATATCAAGACAACAAACACATCCATCACCCCTAAAAATTTCCTTGAGTATCTTTTTAATCCCTCCCTTCTGTTTCTTCGTACATTGCACCATTCCCAAGCAACACCAATCTGATTATTATTACTACAGGTGAGTTTGTATTTTCTAGATTATATAAATGGAATCATACTGTACCTACATTTTTCTCTTTTTTCACTATGTATAATTATTTCAAGATTCATGTCATTGCATGTATCAAAAGTTAATTCCTTTTTACTGCTGAGTAGATTTAATTGTAAAGATATACTATAATAATTTATCCATTCATCTGTTCGAAATGTGGGGTTGTTACCAGTTTGGGGCTACGCAAATAAAATTGCTATAAATATTTGTGTACGAATCTTTTCATATACATATGCTTTCATGTATTTCGAGTTAATGTCTATGAGTAACATGGCTAAGTCATATAGTAAGAATGTGTTTAACAATCAAAAACCACCAAACTGTTTTCCAAAGTCATTGTAGCACAAGCAGTGTGAGAGTTCCCATAACTCCACAACTTTGACAATAGTTGATATAGTAGGTGTTTTCAATTTTATATTTGTTTTACACATTCTAATAGGTGCAGAGTAATATCTACTAAACTGAAAATGTCCTAATGAGATTTTAATTGGGATTCCATCTGAGGTGAATTCACATCTTAAAAATAGAATCTTCCTATCTGTTAAGTGGTATATCTTGACAGACATTAGTCTTAATTTCTCTCATCTGTTTATTCTAGAAATTTTATTGGCCAAACTATTTTTAAATTCAGTCCTAAACTATGAGAATTGATATTATGAATAAAAAAGATGATCTTGGTATGCTTTTCTATTTTAAAAGGTAACTTATAGTTTTCACATCTTATCATATAATTGATCTTCACAAAGTAAATGTCTCTAATTTGAAGCCTGAATATGCCAATGAGTGCTATATATAGACATTACTGCCATATATTCTCTTAATTCCATCAGTTTCGTTTTAGTTTAAAAAGAAAACAAAACAAAGAAACACATACACCCAAAAGCAGAATAAGAATAGGCCAATGGCATTGTCGAATAGCAAAGTATACCATCCCAAAATATGAAACTTTGTCATTTAGATTATTTTGACCTGAAGGCAATCGAGAAAAAGCAGATACAAGAAAAGCTGACCGCCCTCCTGCTATTTGCCTAAAACATGACCTAAATTTACAAAGGTATCCCTCCTCTCCTCTCGATGAGGATGAACAACAGTTAATCACCAGAGACAACTTTGGACCCTTATCAGCCCAGAGATGGTACCACAGAAACCTACATACAAACTTTACTAATTAGGCCTTGTCTTCCATTAGTTTCCTATATGTTTGCCTTCCCACAATTTGCTGGCCCTAGAGACTCAAGGTCCCTTCCTTGGCCTTGTCACTTCTTGAAAAATGTATTGTTCTTTCACTAAAATGCTAACCAAAACTTTGAGGTACTCACTTCTAATACTCTCATGTGATACATGCGCGATGCACATGTTGATAAACACCAGTTTGGTTTTCCTTGTTAATCTGCCTTTAGTCAGTCTAATTTAGAGACACAGCTGGAGAACCTAAGATAGATAGAGGAAGAGATTTTCCTTCTCCTTCAGCATCAACTATGTAGAAATCAAAATGGCATTTGTGGTAAACCACAAGTATTTCTGTGTCAACAAAAACCTATATTTCTCATTCCTATTACGTTTATGCATAAAATAATTATTCACAAATATTTTTATTTGTTTGATTTGTATGTTTTAAACTTCATCCTGGGAGGGGAAAAATAAACGTAGATGACAGAGGCTCTGTTCATCCCTCTGGCAACCAAATCAAAGTCGTGACGGAAACAAGGAGCAAGCAGCAAGGAAAAATTGCCTGCGATCCAGATGAACAATCCATACAATCAGGGAGAAATCCAAGAAAGCACCCTGCAACGGCAGAAAGGAGGACGAGGCGAGGACCCGGGGCTGCCAGGTCCCAAGCCACTGAGTGAGACTGAGGCAACAGCTGCGGCAGACGCCTCTTAAAGGGGCCGCGACCGCAAGTTGATTTTCGCAGTGACAGACCTGCTCACTCTGAGCACCAGTGCCCATTCGGCTGCGCACAGG